GCTCTGAGGGGGGCTGTGAGAGGGGCTGTGAGGGGGGCTATGAGGGGGCTGTGATGGAGCTCTGAGGGGGGCTGTGAGGGGGGCTGTAAGGGGGGCTCTGAGGGAGGCTCTGATGGAGGTCTGAGGGGAGCTCTGAAGGGGGCCTAAGGGGGGCCTTAGGAGGATCTGAGGGAGGTCTGAGGGAGGTTCTGAGAGGAGCTGTGAGGGGCTCTCTGAAGGAGGTCTGAGAGAGGCTCTGAGGGATATCTGAGGGGAACTCTGAAGGGGGTCTGAGGGGGGCTCTGAGAGCTGTCTGAGGGGGACTCTGAATGGGGTTTGAGGGGGGTCTGTGGGGGGCTCTGAGGGAGGCTCTGAGGGGCGTCTGAGGGGGATCTGAGGGGGGCCTGAGGGGGGCTCTGAGGGAGGCTCTGAAGGAGGCCCACAGCCTCGTGGAGGGCTCCCAGAGCAGTGTCCCAGGGCTGCCCTAACAGGACCCCAAACTGGACAAACAGCAAAAAGGGAATCTCCAAGGCTGAGGCCGGAAGTCTGAAGTCCGGGCGCTGTCAGCTTGTCTGGTGGGAGGCCTAAGGGTGTCCCTCGGTCGCCCTCTGCCGCCCCTGGGGTGCCGGGGTAATGGCGCACCCTTCGCCTTCAGCCCTGACTGCAGCAGCCTCTGGGTAGGAGGTGCTGCACGTCTCCTCCCCCGCACACTGGTCCACTGAGTGGCCGGAGCTCCGTGAGAACTGAGGCAGGGACCCTCGCTGGGTGAGGCCGGCTCTTTGGAGGACGAGACCCCTCGAGGCCGTGCCTTCCCCAGGGCCTCAGCCTCCATCTCTGGGCTGGGCCTGTCTCCCACGTCCGGGTATCAGAGACAGACTGGGGTGGGGGGATCCCCAAGGCCCCAGGGGCCAATGGCGGCCTGCCCGGTCTCGGCGGCCAGCTCCACCCCAGTGTGTCCTCGCCGCACCACCAGACTTTGAGGGCGACGCCTGCTCAGTCAAACCAATGGCCACCCCCCCTTGGCGGGGGGGGGGGCAGGATGCATAAATGAAACACAGCGAAAGGGGAAGCCGCAGGCCAGTCAGGCCCAGCAGAGCGCCAGGTGAACCGCCTGCCCCTATGTAAATCAGGCCTATTAATGGCCGCTGGGACGAAGATGAAGGCAGGTCAGTCATCTGCCACTTTTTTAGGTCAAGGCCACTTCCCTTCGTGAAGCTCGCAAACAAAAAACCTCTCAGGGGGGTCTTCAGGCCTGGCCCCCGTTTCTCCCGGGGAGGCAGGATTTTGCCTCAACGCCACTCTGGGCGTGAGAAGGAGGCCCTTGGGGCCGGCTGGCACCACTGGGGGTCGGTGATGGCGCCCTGCTTCAGAGACAGCCCAAGAGAGGTCGCGGAAGTGGGGCTTCTCGTGAAGTCTAAAAAAAGCACAGATGAGAGAATATCGGAGGGGTCTGGGCAGGCGGCGCGGGAGGAGTTCCCCGTTCTGGAAGGCTCTGGAAGGCTCTGGCTGTTGGGTCGAGGCCTCAAGTCAGCACTGGTACAGGGCTGGGAGGGCACCAGACCCCACAGCTGCCTGCTCTAAACGGGTCCCCCCCGATCCCCCCGCCCTCCCCACCCCCCGCTCGGGTGTCTCCCCGGGTCCCTGGTCCCAGGCCGAGCAGCCAGCGTGGCTTCCCCACACGTCTCTGCGCCCTGCTCGCCCTGTCCTCCCAGCCCGCCTGTCAGCCTTCCCCTCCCTGCTAAGCTCCCCGCTTCCGTGGGGAGGCAGGGGAACTGGGGGTGACCCTGTTACACTCTGCCATTCAGGAGAGATTCTCTTCTGGGCGCCTGCCCTGTGTGTGACATGCTGGCCTTGCACACGCAGCTGTGGGTGACCCGTCAACAGCCCAGCGCTGGGCATCGCATCTGCCCACAGCCGCCTTGGAGGCCGATGGGTCACGCCTAGCCCCACTCGCAGCAGGGGCAGCCTGGAGGTGTGCGCCCCTGGGCTTGCCGCAGGGACTAAGGAGGGGGTTTCCCGTTCCTTTTCTTGGGAGTCCTGTTTGCTTTGGGGGCCCCTTTCCAGGTAATCCCGCCTCCACGCCTGGGTCCTCCCCAGTGTCGCCTCCCGCGGTCAGGTCCTACCCTCTGCTGCCCGCCTGCTAACTGTCCCTTCAGCCCAGGCCTTGACCCCTCTGGGCACCGGTCCCAGCACCTGCCCTGCCTCCTGGCAGGGGACCCCCGTGTGGGAGGGCGGACAGGCATGGACGTGGCCAGCTCGCTCCGTACTTCTCGTGTCCACACTGCCGGGAGGCCCTGGCCCTGACGTCCTCTGGGAACGGGTGGCTGGGACCCAAGGCTGCCCCCAGTCAGGCACCGGAGCCAGAGGGAGTGTGTGGCCGCTTGGCCTTGCAACTTGCCAGCCTCCTACCCAGGGCCTGAGTTCACGTTGTGGTCACACACAGGCCGGGGGCGGGCACCCCAGGACCCAGACCTGCCTGCTCTGCCGGGCCCTGCCCTCCCGCGCGAAGACAGAAGGGACCTTTCGCGGAAAGGGGCTTTCACAGCGCGAGCAGGCACACGGGAGCAGCCGGTTTCCAGCTCCGGCCCCCAGTCGCCCCCCCCTCCCCCGTGGGCAAAGCCAGGGCTGGCCCGGGCGGGCGGCCCGAAAGCCCCGGTCTAGAGCCCGCCGGGGACCGGGGGACCGTGGGACCGTGGGGAGGGGCCAGAAACGGCCAGGCGGTCTGGGGCAGCAGCCGGGTCCAGACAAGCGCTGCGGTCCCCTCTGGGCTCACGGCCCGGCCAGGCCCGACTGAGAGGCCGCGCGGCTTCTTCCCCCTCGGGGTTTCCTGCTCCCCCTTCCCTTCCTTTCCCTCTCCAGGGCCTCCTCCCGGCTCAGCTCCACCTCCCTTGGGTGGGGCCTCCCCTTTCCCTGCCCGCCCCTGCCCCTCACAGTAGATAGTCTGCCCAGGAAGAGCGGCCAAGCCGGCGGCAGACCCTTCGCCTGCCCAGCAGTTGCTTTTCCTTTTCATTTTTTTAAAGGATTTTTATTTATGTATGCATCCAGGAACGGCACAGGCCAGAGTGGGGGGGTGAGAGGACCCTCCAGAGACAGAGTGGGGCAGATCAGGTGGATCCACTGAAACCCACTGCTGAGGGGTGCAGCGGGGAGACAGGAGGGGGCTGCTGCGCTCTGGGGGTCCCTCCCTGGCCAGGGATTGAACTCAGGCCACAGTGGTGGCAGCCTGAGACTGACCCCAGGCCACAGGGAGCCACTCAATGTCCCAAAAACTTTCCGGCTGGGTGTCAGTCCACGGTAAGGAGGTGCCGGTCTCCCTCCCGGGGCTGCCAGGCGTGAGGGTGTCCCACGTCTCGCAGCCACGAGCACAGCGGAGCGCGGGTCAGGGCCCCGCTGCCCTTCTCGGCCGGCAGGGGCGGGATGGGATTCCTGGGTCGCCTGGTGCCCACCCTGAGAACTGCCACGCCAGCCCTTCCCGAAGGCACTTGACCAGCGTCGGGTCCTTCCTTCCTCCTGTACCTGATCACCGCAGAAATCGCTCCTGGTGTTGCCATCGCCTACAAAGTCCTGGAGGTTTTCCCCAAAAGCCGCCGCGTCCAAATTACGTGCCACTTGCCCCAGGCGCCGCCCCCCATCACCTACTCGCTCTGGGGGAGTCAGGACATCGAGGTGGCCAAGAAGGTGGTGAAGACTCATGTCCCGGCCTCCTTCAGCATCAACGTCACGCTCAAGTCCAGGGCAGACCTGCTCACCTACTCCTGCCAGGCCGCCTCGCGGGACGGCCACGCGGCCAGCACCAAGCTGCAGATGTACTGGGAGCTGTGGACCAGTGAGTGCAGGGCCGGTGGGGGCACCACAGGGCTGGGCTAGGAGGGCCGCTGGCCCTGAGGCCCTGGTCACAGGCAGGTAGCCCTGCCTGCACGGGGTGGGTGGGACGGGGTGTCTCCTGGCGCACCCCAGCTGGAGGGCGCCAGGGAGCCTGTCCTCTGCCCAGTTCTGCCCTCAACCAGTAAAGTAGCTTCTTGAGTGTCTTGTTTGACCCTCAGCTGCGCCGCGTGGAAGCTGGTGCTCTGGGGCGCTGCCCTGGGCCACCCGGCCTGCAAGTGGCAAAGGCTGGTTCCAGCCCCCACTGCCACCCTGCCCTCTCCTCTTTCCATCCTGATCTGCACTCAGCAGTCCTTCCTGGCCTCCGGGGAGCATAAGAGGGTGGCCCGCCGGCGGGGCCCCGGGTCCCAGCCTAGGGGAGCAGAGCCCAGGGCCGGGCGCCACCGACACAATGTGGCAGCAGGCTGTGCGGCCTTGGGCTAGTCACGCAAACGCTCCGCCTCAGCTGTTCTGCCTGCAAAGCACGGATAACAGCACCTGCCCCAGAGGCTCGGAAAAGAGGGAATGGAGGCATATGTCACACTGGAAAGGTTTTGTTTACCTGCAAGTCAATAGAACTATGTCCTGTGCTTTTGCTTGCTAAGCCCGACAGCCCAGAGCACACTTCACGAGAATAAAAACAAATGTACAATTGTGTGTTATGCATGGAAAAGAGGGTAGAGGCCCAGGCCCAGAGGAGGCGGGGGGGTAATCCAGAAGGCTGCCTGGAGGAGGCGGCAGCCAGTCAGGGCATTCTATAAGCAGGGACGGGCCTGGGAGAGGGTGTTGGGGGCTCCCGTCATGCCTCGCCACCCCTCCCGCCCTTTCAGAGCCCGTGTCTCAGCTGCAGGCTGACTTCACCCTGCTGGGCAGCGCGTCGGCACCCAGGGTGGAGATATCCTGCCGGGCAGCCTCGGGCAGCCCCCCCATCACCTACAGCCTGGTCGGGAAAGACGGGCGCGTCCACACGCAGCAGAGCCCCGAGTACGGGCAGCCGGCCAACTTCTCCTTCCAGCTGACCCAGACATCCAACTGGCTGCAGTGCCAGGCTGCAAACGACATCAGTGTCCAGTACAGCACCCCCACGCTGGTGCCCCCAGGTGAGAGGCCTTCTTGGGTCAGGGTGCTGGGTTCTGGGTTGGCCGGTGGGAGGGCCCGCCCTGGTCCTGAGGATGGACGCCCAGCCCGCTGCCCCCCCCCAGGACAGCTGCCCCAGGGGCCCACGTTGGTGCTCGCTGGCAGCCTCTGCTCCATCGCAGCCGTCACCACCGGGATGCTGGGCTGGAGCGCGTGGGCCAGGTGAGGGGGACAACAGCTGATGGTGTGTGGCCACCAGGGACCCTGGCTGGGGAGCGAGGTGGGGCCTGGGCGTGTAGGCAGGGCTGCAGCAGGGCACGGGGGACGCACAGGCGATTCTAAGCTCTGACTCTTGGCAGGAGCCCGGGGGCACCTGCACAAGGCGGCCAGGCCAGCGGGTCAGCTGACCTGGGGGCCGGAGGCATGGCTAAGCCTCCGGGGTCTTGAAGGGGTGCCGGTGTGGGGTGACGCCTTCCGCCCCCCGTGGGAACCTCCTGTGTCAGCCCTTCCCCGTGACAGGAGGCAGGATCTCCTGGGCGCCTGTCCAAGGCCGCCACTTTATTGGCTTGGAAGTGACCAGGGTCTGGTGCTGCCCGTCCTGCCTCCGTGGTGCCACCTGGAGGGCCTTCTGTCCCCGGTCCTTCACTGGCAAGTGCCCAGGAGTCTACCCTGCACGTGCTTGTCCTGCCGCTAGCCCTTCCTCCCGCCCTGCCCTTTCCACACTCATGGGCGAGCGCTGAGCCCTCTCTGGGCCTGTTTCCTTCCTGGGACACGGGTGGACTGACCGGGCCCCCACTTGCTGCCAGGTGACCCTCGGTGACTCAGTGCCCCAGGTCATTTAGTGGGGTGACTCAGCCTAACCCCTCCTCCCGCCGGGCGTGGATGCGCGGGGCACCGTAGAGTCCCAGAGAGCTTGGGCGGGTGGGGGCAGTGCGCCGCCTGACCCGGGGCCACCTCCCCCGTCACCAGGCTGTGACCAGACCACTCAGCGGTCCTGGGAGAGCCTCGGCCTGGCCCTTGAGAGCTGCCATGGAGAAAACCTGCGACCCCCGAGCCTGGGGCCCTTCCTGGAACACACCGGAGGAGTTTGGGGACCTGAGGCGGCGGCGGCAGGCAGAGGGCAGGGAGGCTGTGGCGCGGGCCTGGCCCTCAGCTGGCCTCGGGCTCCAGTCTGGGAGTGTGGGCCCCGAAAGACCCAGCTGCACCCAGCCTCAGGGCCACTCCCCGGCCCACCAGCGCCCCGTTTCCCTGCAGAGCGCCCTGGTGATGGGTCCCTGGCCCCTCCACGCACCTCTCACGCCCAGCTCACCTGGGCACTCTGGGCCCACCGGCCGCCCCCGCCCCACCAGTTCTGGCCTGCAGCTAGCCAGGGCCGTCTGCTGCCCAGCACGACAGCCGGCTCCCCCCGCGCCCCCCCTCCCCGCGCCCCCAGGCTTGGAGAAAGAACTGGATTACACTCTGGCCCTGCACCGGCTTACTCTCTGCCCCCCGAGTCGGCCTGGGACCCTGTTTCCGCGTGCAAACCGCCCCGGAGCGCGCGGTGCTCGGCCCCCC